ATTTTCGAATTTTAAGCTTACCGAGAGCCTTTGTCTATGCCTTTGTGATGAATCACTGACCTAATTATAGAATCCAACAGCAAACAGCCAATCAGAATGCCGCGTTCGTGGGCGAACGCGGAAAGTACAAAATACCGGGCCTTGCTTGCAGGCCCACTATCAGCACTATCAGTTCCCTTGGGCCTGCACGCGGGCTAGTTAGTTGCAACCCTTCCAGATCTTGTTGTAGTGAATATTGCCTCGACATCTTCATCGTCAGAACTTCAGAAGCATCGCAGCCCCCCCCCCCATTCCATCTCTCCTTCATCTTCCGAGGATTCGGAAGTTGATGACGTAGCTGTTGCGTCTAGGACAATATCGATATCACTGTCGTCCGACTCACTTTCAGACAATTCTCCCTCATCTTGGTCAAAGTCATCTGGCTGAGGTGGGGCCTGAAGTGTTAATGAGGTAATATGGGAACTATAATAAGTGTCAATTTCTCCTTTTTTCAGTTTAAGGGATTTGCAGAATTTGTAATGATTTAGGTACTTGTCGAGTTCATTCACTTTCAGTTTCTAAGAGCTCCGTCTTCAAATAATCTCTTCCAATCATAATCCTCAAATTAAACGTTTTTTTCTTGGTCCTTCAACTGAATCTTTCTTACATCTGCTCTTTTTTTTGTTTATCTCTAAAATCTGTAAATACTCCACATACTTCTTCGCCAACTCCTTTAAACATGTAAATGTCTTGCAAAAGTGTTCAAACTCATCCTCAGCTTTCCTTGTTCGAAGAAATCCTTTGCATTCTTTCTTGGCTGGAAATCATCAACAGTACGGGGCTTTCCGTCGATTTCAAGTTTGGTATGAAAACACTCTTATAATGTAGACCATCTGCAGTGTAGTCCGGCATTGGTTTAGGGATTCTTGTGCATTTTGAATCCACCCAGTCTGTTGCAGAACAGAATGCACAAGGTGACTGTGCAGAATCAGCACAGTAATGTCTAACATTCTCAACATATTTCTCTCCAATTTCGAAGTGATTTTCCGTGAAAGCTAGGACTTTCTTGAAGTAGTGATAACTTGGCATAGACTATTTATCCCTCTCTGTTGCACTAATAAACTGCTTCAGACGCAGACGATCATTAAAGAAAAGGTCCTCGTTCTTCTATGAGGTGTAGGCCTTCATGTATCCATCCGGGGCAGGAGCTCCATCAATCCGACAAGTAAGATCGTCACAGACCTTAAAGGCGTTGTAACCCACCCGTTTAAGTTCATAGTCCTCAATTTCGGCAAGCGTCATCTGTTCTAAATATTCATTTGTTAGTCTTTCGTACTAATGATCGTATTCCCATTCGAATGGACCCCATCACAAACTAACAGATTCCGATCGACTGATCGAGACACTTTCATAAATACTACTGTGCTGCATTGCAATTTATTATGAACATTTAGGAACACAAACTCGATTTTTTTAAAATATATTATATTATAAAAGTCTGTAGTTTTATTAATTATAGACCAAGTATTCGACTCATTTTTTCTTACGTACCTCCATGCAAGGGCGTCAATCTATCCCAAAAAGTGGGGGACGGACTCCAAACTAAGAATGTCCGAAGGTATGCTACCCGAAATTTTTTTCACACCAAACTTGAAATCGAAGGAAAGCCTCGTATTGTTGATGATTTCCAGCCAAGAAAGAATGCAAAGGATTTCTTCGAACAAGGAAAACTGAGCACAGAGGTGAGTTCGAACACTTTTCCAAGACATTTATATGTGAAAAGGAATTGGCGAAGAAGTATGTAGAGCATTTACAGATTCTAGAGATAAACAAAAAGAAAAGAGCAGATGTAAGAAAGATTCAGTTGAAGGACAAAAAAAACCCCGTTTAATTTGAGGATTATGATTGGAAGAGATTATTTGAATACGGGGCTCTTAGGAACAGCAAGTGAATGAACAAGAGAAGTACCTAAATCATTACAATTTCTGCAAATCCCTTAAACTAAAAAAAAGGAGAAATTGACACTTATTATAGTTCCCATATTACCTCATTAACACTTCAGGCCCCACCTCAGCCAGATGACTTGACCAAGATGAGGGAGAATTGTCTGAAAGTGAGTCTAAAGACAGTGATATCGATATTGTCCTAGACGCAAATCTGCGTCATCAACTTCCGAATCCTCGAAATATGAAGGAGAGATGGAATGGGGGAGCGCGATGCTTCTGAAGTTCTGACGATGAAGATGTCGAGGCAATATTCACTACAACAAGATCTGGAAGGGTTGAAACTAACTAGAAAGCAAAAAATTTCGTGAGTAATTTGTTTGTTTCAAAAATTTTTAGTGAATGATTGGTATTTTCAGCGTTTTTGTATAGGAATTGCTATTAAGATTTCGAGTAATGTTTTCCCCTTTTTTCTATATCTGACCCAGATGTTCACCAAGGTCATATTAATAGTATTGACTGCGCTAAATATTTCAATACAAGCAATTGATTGATATAATTTGCAAAACAGTTATGTATGTTTTTGGGTAGAGGGTGATTGGTTGGGTGTGCGGCAGGGGGGGGGGACACGAAACGTTTCATCTCCTTTGAGGGGGTGCTTTGAGGGGGTGGGGGAATTAAATATATTCCGATGCATTTCGGCGAGTGCCAAATTTTATGGTAGTATATTGGAATACCATCCCCCCCCCCCAGTACACATACTTTATGACCGGTCCCTAATTGAACAGTCTTCTCGTTTATCACCGTGCTGAGGCTTTCAAGAAAAATGAGCACGGCGCCACGGCCAACATCCGGATTTGTGTTCAGCAAACTGAAATGAACAAATTTTAAGTAAAATGAAATTGCCCCTCGATTGGTTAGTTTTTTTCCCTTCTATCTGCATGACTTTCTATATTTTTGTCCTAAAAATAATTCCAAAATTTACATCTTTTTGTGTTAATTTCTAAAGTAATTTCTCCTGATTGGCAGTTATTACTGTGGAAACGATTCTGGCGTTTTATTTATCATATTTGAAGTATCTAAGCTGCCGCTGGACAGAAACAATGAGGGCGCGTTTCTTCCCGCGAAAAACATAAACAAAATGGTGTTTTGTAAAAATCAATCGATGATCACAGAAAAGCTTGTTGGACAAGCCCCACAAGAAAAATTGGACCGGCCAACATCCGGAAATGTGTTTAGGAGGTTGAGAAGAACATTTCTATGATAAAACGAAATTGCCCCTCGATTGGTGAGTGTTTTTCCCTCTATCTGCCTGACTAGAGGGCTGATTTAAAAATTAAAAGGTCAAAATTTGTGAATTCCTCCATTTTGAAATTTTTTACAGCAATAAAGAAAATAAAATTCAATGTTTGTATTCTGAATGCTGATTGGCAGTTGTAAATACGCCACACAAAGATAAGGTCACAAAATTTAGGCTAGGGCAAAGTGAGACTCAGACGTTGGAGAGGGCTATCAAATCGAGGCTCATTTGGCACTCGTTTCAAGTTTGGTCCCTCCCATGCCAAATATGGTTTTTGTATGGATGGGGGTCTGAATTAATAAATTTCTATTTATTAATACAGATGGGAGTCTGAATTAATAAAATTCTTTATCTAAAAAGTAGGGCGTCTTAAAGACCTCGGGCACAGTTTTTCATATCTGGACGTCGCAGCCGGTAAATAACATATATGTACTATTTAAAGCACGCGTAGGAGTGCTTTATCACATATAAAACACGACGCGTAGCGAAGTGTTTTATATGTGATAAAACACGACTACAAGTGCTTTAAATAGCTTAAAAAACGACTCATCTTATACGAGTTCATTGGCGAAGTAATTTTTAAAATAAACTTTGTCTAAACCGAGAAAATCAAAGCTAAAGTTTATGTAAATTAACATGATTTTTTATCATATAAAACCACGACACGCTTATAATTTTTCTTTGTGTTTTGCTCCTGAATTATTAATGAGTTTTTAAAGTAATATTACTGTCTCTGCTTGTTGATATTATTGTTCTTACTTCATTTCCTTGTCAAACGAAGCTTTGAGTTTGAACGCTACGCATCTCGAAATACAACAGGGTTTCAGCATATACGGAAATAATACACTAGAATTATGCACGAGTATTGCACGTGATGGTCATGTACATGGGAGCACACAATGAACCATTGATGAACAATGCACAATAGTGTAATTTAATTAAGATGAACCATTGATGAACAATGCACAATAGCGTAAGTTAATTAAGATGAGACAATGTATATGGTGACTGTCAAGAAACAGTTAGTGTCTCAGTGAGTTGACTGTAGTGAGAAATGTTTGCGTCTATCAATATATCTACGCACGAAGACGCACAATAATATAAAATATATATGTGATAAAAGAAACCTTGTTGTTGGTGTCAGTGATATCCGGCGATATTCTTCTGTTGAGTTATTACCCATACGGCCCCGACGATCCTGCTGTATTGGTCAGAATATAACACTTGCATAATTGTATTGTAGCTATGTCAATTGATATTTGAAAAATGTTGGAAGAGATAATCGCTTGTTTCTTGTCATTGTTTTCTGCCTTAATTATGGATGCTCCAAGACTTTCCTGGAAAAGGATTAACAACACAAGTCCATCGGAGCAATGTTCACGCTATACATGGGAGGATAAAATTCACAGAGAACACGTTTCTGCAGAAGGTAATCTACCATTAGAAACAGAGTATTTACAACTAGGGTATGAACTACGAAACAAGCCTACTTATATCCAGTCATTACTGAGAAGTCTGAAAGCGAACTTTACCATAACCTTAGCCAGGGACGCCGGAACTGGGGGGCAGGGGGGGCGGCTGCCCCCCTTGCCTTTTGCTAGGGGGGCAGGGGGGGCAGAAGTGCCCTTTTAGTTGTAAAATAATACGTGATAAATCACATTTCCAACGATGCTTTTTGTAGGAAAATCACGAGATTCAGGTAATTTATAGTTTATATTTATAAAAATTTTGGGAAATTTTTGGAATGTAGAAAAATATTTTGAAGAAATGGCGAAAATTTAAGATATCCGGAAAAAATTTTGGCTTCACGGAAAATTTTTGTATGTCCGGAAAACATTTTTGACCCCTAAAATGGTACACTGACAATTTTGCAGTGAAAAAAATTTTCAGTAAAGGTGCCCTTGGTGTGCGTCCGCCCCCCTTTGCCCTATTATCGTTCCGGCGTCCCTGACCTTAGCTGTACTGCCTTTGTTATTTACAGGGATGGCTCTTATATATTTTGATTTAAGAACAACCGATTTATGTTCTGAATGGCGGAATAAAAACTACACTCTTTCATTTCATGTTAAGAGAATAAGATTACTCGGCGAGAGAGTTCAAAAAGTAATATTTTATATGTGGTTTCCCTTGACGTTGGTTGTTCTATTTGGTTGGAACGAATTTAAGCGTCATTATTCAACGACCATTTTGGTGGCCAACTGGCTGGTTTAGTTAATACATTATATTTAAGCTTTTTACTCCTATATGGTGATGACATTCGGGTCCGATCAAAAGTTACGACGTCCCAATAGTTTTATTATTTGCTGTCGCTGGTCTCTGGGAATCTGTGATTGTGGTGCGCAAAATTCGACAAAATCATCCAACTGTATCATATTCGGGTTTCCATATTTTCATGATTCTTCTAGTGCCTTCATTAAGCTCCTATACAATGGCAATGTTTTACAAATTTGCTGTTGTTAAGTGGTTTAATTCCCTCGATGATGCGTTGTATATTGGCTATGTTGACACCGACCTTAGCAATGGTGCCGACTGCTATATGTAGGAATATGGTATTATGGCGTACTTCAGAGGTTATCGAACCAGAACGAAGCTTTGCGTTGGTAATGTTGAGAACATTTCACTGATACTAAGCCAATCCCATATCGTTTTATATACGATTACAAACTTTCAGCTCTCTGATTGGTCTGTCGTGAAGTCATCTTTAATCAGGATTGCTATTGGATTGGGGATTGAATTCGTGTTTAAGTTAACGTTTTGTCTACTTTTATTTGCATACATTGGCATGATATTCCCATAGCGCGAGTATGATCGAAGTACGCATGTAAACGACATATGTTTGCTAACATTATCGTTGTTGCAGTTATAGTATGCTTCTTTACCAAACCCTTGCTCGCAATATTTCAAGATCGTTTTCATGATACCACTGTTATAGGGAATTATAATATTAGAAATTGTACTCTGCCTTACGAAAGCTGGCGTTGATTTCACGAATAGTGGTTTGCAAATGTGCGGTGCAATCTCTCCAAGAACATGGGGTCCCAACAAACTGTCAATAACATGTCCTTACTTCATTAATTTGTTTTAAAATATTAAATATTTCTTATAAACAATATCAAAAGCAACAAAGACGTTCTCGCATGTCCAAATTGAATTTCTTTGCTAGCGACATGCGAAATTCATCTAGCAGTACTGTAGCAATTTCAAGAAGTTGTGATGAGAGCTGCAACTCTCGCTTGCGTTTGACCGCCAACTCTCATTGACTTCGAACTGGTTCAAATTTTAATAAGAGTTGATAAGAGTTTTTGTTAGTTATCGCGTGGTAATATCCAGTCATCTCTCATGGCCATCTCGGATGTTTCACTTATTATACCTTAGAAATTTTACAATGAAATCTCCTTGGAATTATTGTTGTTTGTTTAACTAAAACTGGATAATCCCAGGTGTGACGCGAAATACAGGGTGTCCCAAAAAACCCGAAAACTATTGAAATCACTTATTGTTAAATTTGAATGCCCTACCAAACAGCTGGACGTAATGATGCGTAAAATATTGACAAGGTGCATGTATTAGAATTTAGTTAGGAATATCTCCTGGTAAAGTGCGCGATTTTCTGCTCCTGGGAATTAAAAACGGCTGCTTAAACAGTTTCTTTATGCATTAAATTTGCTTAAGTCAATCATTCATGCACTCGTGGGAACCAACAGAGCGCTAAGGCATTCAGATTCTGACAATTAAATTGTTATTGGTGATTTCAATAGTTTTCGTTTTTTGGGGGACACCCTGTAGAGTCATTTTATTTATACATGAATTTTCCAACTCAATTGTGCAATTGATCAACTGAATTGACATTATACCACTGATTGTGAACGTTAGCGTTCAGCGATAATAAAGCTTGAATCGCAGATATGGAAAAAATCACTCTTAGTGATATTAATAGACTACAGTTTCAAAGGTTATGCTATATGCATTACTACAGTATACTATAGTATAAGCACCAAAAATCGTTTCGCGTTTGACCTTCCCACTATTTAGTAAGCAGCAACAATGAGTTCGTCAGTTGGCCGTTTAGATTTGGCGATATCTATATTAGAAACTTTTGGTAACATCGCATATGAGCGATATGGACTTAAAAATCGTTTCGACCGACCGTATTTAGCAAACGTCGTGTATTTCGCGGTCACGACCACACAATTCGCTTTGAAATTTAAAGTGTTTGTGATTGAAACTTAGCGATGTCGATTTGAAATGTTTAACGAAGTATTAGAAATTAACATCATGATTATTTTATCTGAACTCTAAAAAACAGTTTTGGCCGACTTAGAATTTAGCAAGCGTCATGTATTTCGCGCTTGTACACGCCAAATTTCTGACCCGTCACGCTTGGTCAGATATTTCGAAGAGGTCAGGAATTTCGCTTGACACATGCTAAACTAATCTCGTAATTAATGCCTTTGCCTAATTTGCATATGTCAGTAGTATGCAAATTGTGCAAATTGGTAAAGACATTAATTAAACATGCGAAAGGCTGATTTTTTAGGAAAAAATGAATAGTTAGAGGGCTTAAACTAAAGCAAATTGTCTAAAATTTTGTACAGTAATTAACAACCCAACAAATGTTCCATATATTAACTCAAAATACGATTAAAACTTTTAAATTCCGTGCGCAAGCCATTTTTAGTTTGTTGGGAAAGACACCCCCTGGTTCACAAAATTTGAGTTCGAGAATTTTTTTTCATTGTTCTACATTATAAGTACCCATGGCCGGCAGTACATTGACTATATATGGCGGTTAGACGTGTTATTTTGAACACCGCTAGCCCGAGTCAAAATTTAGCTAGTTCGTTACTCGACTTTGCCAATAATGATTCCCTGAATACAGGTGAAATTTACCGTACCAGAAAGCAAACCGAATCGACATTTAAATCGCTTGGCCTATGTTGGACGGGTGATTTCGAATCACTAAAACACTTTGTAGCCGACTCTTTGAAGCTGAATGGTACCTGGTCTCAACCTGGAGGCGATAAAAAGGTTTTTGTTGCTGAGGACGCTTCTATCATATGGAGGAAGAATAAAAACATCCTAACTATTGAAAAAGTACAGGAAAATCAACTAAAGAGGGAAGTTTGCAGATATATCTGCGACTATTCGAGCGAATCGTTTGATGCTTCGACAGAAATTGAGGATCTCAAGCAAGGACAGCAGTCGAATGAGGAGGCAATTCAAGCATTGTCGGACACGATTAGTCATATGGGCGCTGTTGTTTCGCAATTTCAGGACTTTATGGACAAAAATAATAAGAGTATTGGCGATAAAAAATATGACCGACCTGCTGAATACAAAAATCTACATGCTGGACATGTAAATGAAATGCGTGATCGTGACGCTAATGACGCCGAAGGGAATAAGTCTATCAATACAGAGCAATTAGAAAGTATTATTATAAACGATTGGGATAACAGCTTATTGCCTAATATCACAATAGCCTCTTGTGATGCAGAACCCATCGGTAATAAAGGTCAAAATATGCGAGCGATTGATAAATTGCATACTACGAACAATGGGATTATTCCAATCAAGGTGAACAATGGGGGTGAGTGCAATGTAAACGAGGGCGAGACTAATGACCCTGTTATCCTGGTAAACCCATTAAACCTCATTGAAACTGATAATGACAATCTAAAGCATAAGCATGGTAATAATCCCATTGTGTCAGCAGAAGTTGCAACCTCTATTAAATACGATAATAAACAAGTAAGAAACAACAATCAAGCCACTTTTGCGGAGGTAGTGACATCTAGCCCTGCATTTAATACCTGCAACACACTTGAAAAATCTCCTACCAATAAATCCCAAAACAATTCTCTGCAAATAATCAATGATCCATCTAGTGACTCTGCTGACGGGTTTATTGGTGTTGACCGGAGACGTAACAGAGTTAAGAAATTCCTGTTAAGCTGGAATGCGGGATAGCTGAAAACGTAAAAGAATGTCAAATTGTTTCCTATCTGAAACAACGGAATATATAACACCTACATATATTTCCGTTTTTCCAAGCAAAAGAAAAGGTACGACATCGGCTAAAATCCATTTTCGTTCGGCCGATTGTTCGTTAGTGCAACAACAAAATTTCTGGCCTCAGTTTGTCAACTGCAAGATTTGGCAATCAAAAGGAGAAATTAGATCTAATATTACCCATAACGGGAAGTTCTCAACTTATGTATAATGGAGCAAATAGAAGTCAGAGTTTCGTCACGTAATTTTGGTTGCCGTGTGAGGCAAAGAAGGCGTACAGAAACGCGAGGTGTCAATTATAACAATCTAACCCGTATTAGATGCACAAATAATTATAATGAAAAAAACAAAAAACAAAATAAAGCTATACTCCCGAGAATTTGCTGCTTGAACGCACGCTCAATTAATGGAAAGGTTGATGAACTTGCAGCATTTATGTCCGTCAACAAAGTTCATATAGCCGCAATTACGGAGTCTTGGTTGACTGATGAGATAGGGGACGATCAAATATCGATTGGTGGTTATGTAATTCAACATGTGTATTAAAACGCCACATTTTGTCAACATGTGTTAAATACCAAGAATAAAAATACCAAGTCAATTGCCATTGGCATTGTGCAAATCGAAATTGAAGTTTACCACAAAGTGGCGCAGTTTACCGCAAAGTAACGTCTGGTATACTCCGGAAATTTTCATTTTGGGATTTTGCTGCCCGAAAGAAAAACTTTTTTTCTAAAACTGGATGACAGTCAACTGGTAACAAGAAAATTTAATTACACCTATCAATGCTATTTATTGACCACCAAGTACAAAACTAGTAGTTCATATATCATGAAAATAATTAACCTTATTGTTTTGCTGATGTTGTTGTGGCTCTGTCTCCTTTTCGAACTTAAACTCTTCAGTTTCACTTTGAACGCCACGTATATCGAAAGACGACGCGGAAAAGCGAAAACTTCCGCATATTGGAAAATCATGAACAAGTGACTTTAAAAGCGCAACTTGGTTATATTAACTTTGCCAGTTAATAGATATTTTCACAATGTTGGAAGAAATAATCGCTTGTTTCTTGTCTCTTATATATTTTGATTTAAGAGCAGTTGATTTATGTTCGGAATGGGAGGATAAAAACTACACTCTCTCATTTGCTGCTAGGAGAATAAGATTACTCGGCAAAGGATTTCAGAAAGTGATATTTTATCTCTCGTTTCCTTTGTTTTTGCTTGTCTTATTTGGTTGGAACGAATTTAAGCGTCATTATTCTGCAACTATCTTAGTAGGCCAACTGGCTGGTTTATTTAATACATTATTTTTAAGTTTTTTACTCCTATATGGTATTGATGATACCAGTCCAATCGAAACTTATTGCGTTCCAGGAATTTTGACATTTACTGTCGCAACTCTCTGGGAGTCTGTGATTGTGGTTCGCAAAATTCGGCAAAATTATCCAGCTGTATCCTACTCTGGTCGCCACATTTTCATAGTTGTTGCTGTGCCTTTATTGAGCTCCTATTCAATGGGAGTGTTTTAAAAATACGGGGTTGTTAAGTGGTTTAATTCCCTCGATAATGTGTTGTATAAATTCATATTGGCCATATTGACACCGACCTTAGCACTGGCACCTACTACTATATGTAGGCATATGGTATTATTTTTCTTATAAGCTTTATTGGACATAGAAATTCTAGATTACAAGGTGAACGTCCAATGGGGTTAGTGCAAACGGGAAAACGAGACCCATGCAAGGCACAACCCATAAATAAAGGTATAACTAGATAACAAAAAGAAAAAGAAAGAAAAAAAGATCTATTTACAGTAAAAATATACATAATGCAGTTTAGGAATGATGGCAGGAACAGTCGCGTGTGAGTGACCAAGTGCATGGCATATATCCACATTAAAAGTATCCTTGACCAGGTTGGAGTATGTCGCATGCAGGAAGCGTTTAAAAATACTTAGGCTGGCAAATATAACTGTGGAGGCTATTTTACAAACAAAGTTCCAAGGATTAACTACTCGGTTGAAGAACGAAGCCTGAAAAGGTGATGTTTTACAGTACGAAGGTTTCAAAACTAGGGATGGATTTTGAGAGCGAGAACGACTATGTTGCACAAAAGATACAAACTGCTCAATGTTCAACTCAATACAACCGAAGATAGATTTATAAATCAAAACAAGGTCACTGAGTTCTCGATCATAAACTAGTGGTAGTTGGTTTAGGGTTGTCAGCCTAGCTTCATAGGGCATCTCTCCGACATTCGTTTTCAGGATCCAGCGGGTTGCACGCCTCTGAACCCTTTCTAATATTATCTGTAACTTAGCAGTAGCTGGTGACCATACCTCCATTTAATAGCACAGTTGCGACTTAACAAATGCGTGATATAGGGTTTGCCTTATTTTGCTGTGTTCTATAAGGGGACATGTCCTTTTCAAGAGACGAAGCATCCTGTTAGCTTTGTTGACAACTGAAAATATATGAGCGTCGCAGGATAAATTGGCAGTTATCATTATACCGAGGTCTTTTTCTTGTTGAACTCGTTGTAGATTTGCGTCGCCGAAATTATAATCCGTTGTTACAGGTGATTTTTTACGTGTGATTGTGAGAACTTTACATTTTAAAGCGTTAAATTTCATGTTTGAATTCTGACTCCAATCATTTAGACTAGAAATGTCACGATGCAGGCTTTCGCAGTCGCTTATGGATGAAATCGATCTGTATAACTTGGTATCATCTGCGAAGAGAGCGGTTTTTGACTGATAGATTTGGAATAAATTCAGGTAGGTCATTGATAAAAATGACAAATAGCAGAGGACCAACGATGCTCCCTTGGGGCACGCCAGAAGTAACTGGTAGGTACTGAGAAGCTACGCCGTCAATCACAACTCTTTGAGATCGGTTCCTAAGATAATCAGTGAACCAATCAAGCAAGTGACCTGTTACACCGTACCATTTGTAAAAAGCTTTCAAATCTGTCAAATAGTATAGTATCAGAATTTGGTGGCCGGTACCAAGTTGAAACAAGGAATGGTTTAGTCTTTTGTTTCCTAATTTCTATACAAACTGCTTCAACATGGTCAGTGAGTAATTCCGATCGCTCCATACATATGGGATATTATCTCTTAAGTAGATAGCTACACCCCCACCATTTCGATTTCTATCCGATGTTATTAATTCATAGCCTGCGACCTCAACATCTTGACTATTAATAGTATCGTCTAGTCTGGTTTCATTTAAGGTTATAATATCAAAAGGTTGTCTGTGTAGTAAGATCCTAAGCTCCTCAATATGTTTGGTTAAGCTTACAATATTCAAGTGGCCCACCCTAAAGCCTTTTAGTTTTGAAAACGTATTCTCGCTAGTTTGTGATAATAGGTCATGACACATTTCTCTGACATTTCGATTTTCAGGATTTAAAATAAGATTATTTTGAATGGTCGAATTGCATCGAGACTTTTCTGAAGATAGTTCGATATTGTCCTTATTCGTGCAATCCACTGTGGAACTCATATACTCAGGCAGTCAATATTTAAGTTTTAGAAAATCACTAAGATTCTTAACTAAGATTGCAGTTCCTTGTTTGTTCAGGTGAACACCATATGGGTTTAAGTGTTTAACTAAAATGTTTCCATGAGTTAGCAAATCCCATCTATTGCTTAGACCATGGATAATAAAATAAATGGATAGGAAACTAGCTGACGTGACCTAATGTTTTCAATGGGCTGATGGCGTGGTTGGATGTCCCAACTTAGTTGAAAACCAAATTCTCAAAAACGGCATGTTTAGCAATAATACAGCTAAACAATTTAGTCAAAGAGCAAATAAATATAACCACGCCATTCAACGATGAAAACTCTAAGTATTCCCAGAGAAGGGTTAATATGCCGTTTGTAGGACAAAACTCAAAAATGTCTTTTTTTTCTAAGTCTTTTTTTTCTGAGTTTTTTTCTAAGTCTTTTTTTTTTCTAAGTCTTTTTTCCCTTCAAAGTTTTTTTTTTCTAAGTCTTTTTTTTTTCCTAAGTTTTTTCCCTCCAAGATTTCCTCCAAGATTTTCCCAAGATTTCCCCGTGACTTTTTTCCAAGATTATTCCCAAGATTTTCCCAAGACTTTTTCCCAAGATTTTTCCAAAGATTTTCCCTCATGATTTTTCCTTCTAAGATTTTTTTTTTCCAAGATTGATCCCCGAGACTTTTCCCAAGATTTTCCAAAGATTCGTCCCCAAGACTTTCCCAAGACTTTTCCAAGACTTTTCCCAAGATTTATCCCAAGATTTTCCCAAGATTTGTTCTTCAAGATTTTTCCAAGACTTTTTAAAGATCGTCCCCGTGGATTTTTCCATCCTTGAGATTTTTTTTTTTTTTCCATCAACACCTTATATGAATAAAAGAGTATAAGAAAAAGGAAGACCATCCGGAACCTAAGACCTCTATTACTAATCATTTTTTCCTAACCCGTTCGGGGTTAGGAAATTTTTTTCATTAAATAAATGAAAGGTAGTAATAGAGGAAATTCGGTCAGTCTTCCGTTCATGAGACGGATGTACGATGTATTTCTCGATAACGAGAGACGATCAAGGAAAGAATTAAAGGAACGTGAGAAAGAAGCGGGACGAAAGATTCACGAGGAATCAAGGGGTTGGGAAAAAAGTATTGGGAAGGAAGAGCAAAACCGTCGCGGTAGAATTAGGAGGGGAAAAGCAGCAGAAAGAAAGCGTGCAAGGGAAGAGCAAAACCGTCGCGGTGTTATTATTCGCGAAAGGGCAGCAGAAAAAAGACGCGTTCGCGAAGAGAAAAAACAGACCGGCAGGGAAAAAAAGCGTCTCCGCGATTTGAACGAGACGGTTATTCAACGAGAACGTAGACTTCGCAGGAACGAACGCGAAAGAACAAGACGTAGGAAGAAAAGGGAAGCGGAAGCAAGATATTTAGAGTTGACACCGATTCAAGAAAATTCGGCGATACGTGGAATGGTAGAAAAGTATAAGATTGAACCGAGGACTGCTTTTGATGTGTTGACGTTTATGGAACTTGTCCGTCCGAGAGTTCGTGAACTTTTAGATGGTTTACGTGGAAATATGTCCAGAAATATTAGGTTGGAATTAATTTGTCTGATGGGAAAGGAATTGGAGGATGGAAGAGAGGAATTGAAGGAGGCAAGATTCGCGACGGGAAATTATAAGCTTCATGGTGTTGACACGTTGACGGATGAGATTTGGGAACAGATGAAAGATAAGATTTTGTTAGAGTTTTCCCGCTATCAAAAAGGTGGAAGTAATTATGTTTTGAAAAGAGTTCAACGTTTGTATATTCACGTCGGGAAATTTATTCCGTTCAAGGGAAAGGGATGTTCGGTTCCGCTTCCTGATTTTATAAGAAAAAAGCATGCATTGATCAATATGAAAAATACAGATGACGAATGTTTTAAATGGGCAGTAACCCGTTTTTTAAATCCTGTGGTAAAAAAATCCGAAAGAATTTCAAAGAAACTTCGTGAACAGGCCGAGAATTTAAATTGGAAAAGGGTTGAGTTTCCGACTCCGATCGATGGTGAATCTATCAAAAATTTTGAGGTAAATAACGGCGTCAACATCAACGTGTTTTTGTGGGATGAAGACGATGGATTCTATCCGATAAGGATCAGTAAATGTTATTCGTCGGGTGGAACGATAGTAATCCGACTTTTTCTATGGCACGAACATTATTATGTCGTGAAGGAAATGTCGAGATTGATCGGGTCACAGATGACAAAAAATGAACATAAAAAGTATTTTTGCGATAAGTGTTTAAATGGATTTGGACGTCAGGATCTTTTAACGAAACATTTAGAACGATGTTTAAACGAGAAGGCAAAGGGAGTGGGTAATTATCCAAAAAAAGGTTCCGTCTGTGAGTTTGACGGAGTAAGAAGGACACAAATTTATCCGTACGTTATCAGTGCGGATACGGAATCTTTTTTGAAGAAAAAGGAAAAGGTTGGAAGAATTAATAGGAAGAAATTAGAAGGTTCGGGTAGGAAACATTTACACGATCACGTGATGAATTCTTATTGTTTTCATACTGTAAGTACGAACGAAGATAGAATGAAGTCGGAAACGGTTCGACGAACATCGGTTCACGAATTACAATGTATATCGGATAGATTTGTGGACGATCTTGTTGCAAAGGTACGTGAATTTTTTCGGAACACCCACGAACCACTTCCCATGGAGGAAATGTCTGAGGATTTAAAAAAGTTACATCAATCGGAGACGAGATGTTACGTATGTAATTCAGAATTTACCGAAGAAAATGACGATGTTTTCGAAGTTCGTAAGGTACGAGACCATTGTCATTTTACAGGAAAATACCGAGGAGCTGCATGCAACGGATGTAATTTCGAAATAACGGCACCAGTGTTTGTTCCCGTTTATTTTCATAATCTTGAAGGATACGATGCTCATTTAATTATTCGTGCACTTGCAAGAATTCCGGGTAGGTTTAAAAGTATTTCCAAAACGGAACAGAATTATATTTCCTTTTCAAAGATAATTTGGGTAGGACCGTTTGTGGATAAGGAAACGGGAGATGAGTTTAATAAGAAAGTGGAAATTCGGTTTCTGGATTCGTGTAAGTTGATGCAATCATCGTTAGAAAAATTAGCGAACGGATTGGATAAGGAGACGGATTTTATACAGTTGGATCGATATTGCAACGAAATGGGATATACGAAAAATCAGCGGGACTTATTAAAACAGAAGGGAGTTTATCCTTACGAATACATGGACGATCATGAAAAGCTTGATAGGAGTCGTCTTCCACCAAAAAGATTTTTTTACAACGGATTAAAAATGGAAGACATCACGGACGAGGAATACGAACGTGCGAAAAAAGTATGGAAGACGTTTGGAATGAAAAGCATGTTGGATTATCATAATTTATATCTCGTAACGGACACGTTAATTTTATCCGACGTGATCGAAAACTTTCGGAAGGAAAGTCGTGAAACGTACGGATTGGATTCTCCGTGGTATTACACGGCTCCGGGACTTTCGTGGGAAGCGGCATTAAAAAAGACGAGGGTTGAATTAGAGTTGATTACCGAGCCTAGGATGTATAAGTTTATTGAAAAAGGAATTCGCGGTGGAATAAGTACGTCGATAATGCGATACGGAACGGCCGATAATAAATACGTTGGGATTTCAGAAGTTCCCGAAGGAATTATAAATTTAATGCGAGACTTGGATTTAAAAATCAGAAAGGATCCGACCGATATCCGCGAAAAGGTTTTGGAATTTGAGAACGAGGTCTGTAAATTTTTATGGGATTATAGTCAGGAGGACGACGATAAAATTATGAAATGCATCGAAAGGAATCTAACGCGATGGGTAACATGTCTTAGCGATCGTGGAAAGGAGGATGATTCCGTATTCATTCCGTACTTGGATGCAAACGGTTTGTATTCTCACGTCATGACACAACCGTTACCCTACGCCGACTTTGAATGGATGTCCGAAAAGGGAAAGGAAGAATGGGATCGTCTTCCGGAAGGAAAGGGTTGTTTCTTAGAAGTAGATTTAGAATATCCGGAGGAACTTCACGATCTTCATAGCGACTGTCCGCTTGCACCGGAACGTCTTCGAATAGGTAAGGTCGATAAACTCGTTCCGAATCTGAACGATAAGAAAAAGTATATTCTTCACGCGAGAAATTTAAAATTTTACCTCGAACATGGTATGAAATTATCGAAAATTCACGAAGGTGTTATGTTTTCGGAACGACCGTGGTTGGCTGAATATATTCATATGAATATCGAACTTCGTAAAAAAGCGACGACTGATTTCAAGAAGGATTTTTACAAGTTGATGTGTAACGCAATTTTTGGAAAGACGATGGAGAACGTGAGAAACCGGACGGATATTCAACTGGTCAACGACGAAAAGGGATGGAATAAGTTGGCGAGGAAATGGAATTTTGAAAAGGCGACTATTTTTTCGGAAGATTTGATAGCGGCTCGTATGGCAAAGACAAAGTATTACTTAAATAAGCCAATTTACGTGGGAGCCGCAGTTTTAGATCTGAGTAAGATTCACATGTATAAATTTTTCTACGATTATCTGAAACCTAAATTTGGTAAAAATGTAAGACTCATGTATACGGACACGGATTCGTTCATTTTACGCGTGAAAACCAACGACTTTTTCAAAGAAATTTCGAACGATGTGAACGAATGGTTCGATACGAGTAACTTTCCAAAATCTCATCCGTCAAACATTCCGTGTGGAAAAAACAAGAAGGTTCTGGGAATGATGAAATTTGAAACGGAGGCGGTTCAGATTGTCGGGATGGTTGCACTGCGTGCGAAATTATACGCTTATAAATTAGAAGATGGTAGGGAAGGAAAAAGAGCAAAGGGAATTAAGAAAGCAACGATCAAGAGAACGATGAATTACGAGGATTTTAGGGATTGTCTTTTCACGGGAGAGAAACAACATCGTGAGATGGATGTGATTCGAAGTTACAATCATCGTATTCGTACGGAAAGGATTACAAAAGTAGCATTATCGTCCGACGACGACAAGCGTCATATTTGTGAGGATGGAATTTACACGTTGGCACATGGACATAAGGATATTTTTTAAGTAAGTCTCGGTAACAACTTTCGACAAAATCCAAGACCGTTCTCAAATTTCTTGCAAGTAAGTCTCGGTAACAACTTTCGACAGAATCCAAGATTGTCTTGTAAGATTTCGCGAGGAAAATCCGAGTAAATTTTACATTCGTCCAACAATTCCTCGCAAGTAAATTTTAAACAAAATTCAACAAAGTCCAACAAAATTAAAGTATTTTTTTCTTTCCGTATATAATAAAATGACAGAAGTAAATCCAGAATCCGTTTCGGTTACCAAACCCTTAGACCCACCGAAAAAAGTAAAAGATCCGCGTCGTGTCGAAGCGGGAAAAAGATTGGCAAAAATAAGTCAACAGGCCAAAGCTGTGAAAAAAGCAAAAGCCGAAGAAAATCTAAAAGCAGAAGTCCGCGAAAGTTGTATGACGGATGGAGGATGGATTTCCGTCGAAAGACTCTGTATGTTATTCGGACTGGGAATCGGATTGGGATCGTTGTATCTTTCGTGGCGAAGTCGCGACGAGAAAAGTCCCGCGAAACAAGAGATTATCTACGAGAACAACAATGATGTGGAAAAAGATTCTTCGAAAGAACCGTTCGACGACTTGTTTGATTAAAAAAAATTTCAAATCGGACCAAGTAGAATAAATGATGGAAAAGGCAGCAGAAATTATGACAGCACTTGTGAAAGCACAAGAAATACTTATCAAGAGACTTACGGAGGAATGCTGGCACGACTACGATCATTATGCTGAAAAATTTAAAGGTCATGGTTACTTTGTCAGGGAACTTGAAAATCTTCGGCAGGCAACAATAATTGATACTGCGAAACGGACCGACTGGCATGATAATATTGCGAAGGAAGTTAACGAGTGGATAGCGGCGAACACGAATCGAAATTAATCTATGAAATTTATTTTTTTTTCATAAATTAATAAAGGGAGAATGAGGTTGGAAATCTTAGAAAACTCGGCGATCATCGGAAACAATAAGATCAGGACGCTTATTCCGAATGATTGTAGCGAGATATATTTTATGGCAAAGGATGTTGCACTTGCACTCGGATACAAGGATACATCCAAAGCCGTTACAACACATACAGATGACAGATCGAGAATCAGATACGAAAATGTAGAAGGTGGGCGTTTCGCCCACCTTCCCACATTACATCCTGACACAATATTTATCACCGAACCTGGTATCTACGATCTTGTATTCGGTTCTAAATTACCCAACGCTAGGAAATTCAGATGGTGGGTAGTTAGTGATGTTCTTCCGTCTATCCGGAAAACGGGAATGTACACATTACCGGGTGTTTTAAACAAAGTAAAAAACATCAAGGACAGTGAATTGCAACAGCTTCATGGTGGTGATATCGAACAGGTAGAAGTACGTCGTGAATTAGTTCATAAAAGTGATATTGTAAAAGATCCGAAAGCAGTCTTGCGTGGAAGAAAAGGCGGACTGATCGTACAGGAAAATATTAGACAGATTAAAATAAAATTATGCGAGAAGGAAATAAAAGCTCTGGTACTTGAAGAAGAATTAGATAAACTTGAAGGGGAATTGGACAATATTACAGAGGAACGGAACGATCTTGAAGAGGAACGAAATGATCTCAAAGAGGAAGTAAGAGGTCTCGAAGAAAAAGTGGACGAACTGAAAGAGGAGAACAAAGAACTTAGAGAGGAAAACGGAAGACTTTGGACTGAAAATGGGAAACTCGCTACTAGCGAGTTAACGGATCTTCCCTGGGGGTGAGCAAAAGAAAGAAAGAAATAAAAGAAATTTATTTCCTAAGAACTTTCCTAAGAAATAAAATAATGTCTGATACTAAGAAAGAACTCGTTCAGGATTTATACGATGTTGCGCTTCTAACGTCCGGAGTCGTCGGGATTTCGTACGCGGCGAAAATGATCGCGGGAAAAAGTTTGGGTGCACCGATGACGTTGGAAGGGGCGATGAAACTCGGCGTGGCCGTGGCGGGAAGTTCCGTGGCCGTGGCCTATCTCAAAGACAAGGGTTACGTTCCAAAAACAATCGGTAAATAAATGACAACCAATTTAGTAGTCGGCGGATTATTCAATGCGGTCGCCTTTGCAGGCGCTGGATTTTTGTTTTCCCATCTGAATCAAAACGGGTACAAGGAAGAAGTCAAAAGACATAATCGTGCGCTGGAAGAATTAGCCGCGGCGAAAGAAAAATTTTACGAATCCGAAGTGAAAAGACGAAACGATGAATTACGACGACGCCAAGAAATCTTGGACGCGAATCATGATATCAAAGAGACGAATAAAGCGTTGGATGCATTGAGAAATTATAATCGTCGGCAGGATTTAAATGCATTGGAACGTAAACCGAAATTCGAAGATTATTATCAACCGTCGGATGAAATGCAAAAATATTTAACGATGACCGTTGGGATTTTAGGGGTGGGAAGCGGTTACGTATTGACGCGAATTTTTTAAGTTGGTAAAAAACTTAAAAAATTTTTCTAAGTCGTCACGAGAAAACATTTTAAATCTGTTGCTTCCGTTCGGTCGGTTACTTTTCCCGTCGAACTTACGTTTTTAAATTCCAGGCCGATGATTAATATCTTGCCACTACCGTACGCAAACGTAAACGCCGCACGAACGAACGTGCTTCGTTGCGTTACCGCGGTGACGACGACGTTACCGCCGCTTCCGTCGTAAAATCCGTGGAGGGTCGAATAGGCCCTGGAATTTATTTCGTAGCCGCCCACGCCAAAAGTGATGAATTTTGCCCTCTTCCTATGGATTACGGAAATTGTACCGGTTTCGTAATACCCCGAAGCACCGTACATTTGCAGAACGTCGTACTGAACGTAATTTTTTCCGAGATCGTTCAATTCCCCGACCGCACTTACATTTTTAACGATCTCGGCCGTATTCGCCTGCTGTGTTTTTTCGATCTCCGTCACTTTTTCCTCCAGGTCTTCGGATTCGTCAAAGTAGTCGTATCCCATCAACATACTCATTTATTTAAATAGAAAATAAGCAGCTCCCATCGATGCAACGGCTAGAATTTTCAAAGTGGATGGATTCTGTAAATCTCTCGTAGGACTTGTTGAAGTTTTCACGGGACTTGTTGAAGTTTTCACAGGACTTGTTGAAGTTTTCACGGGATTTTTCACAGGACTTGTTGAAATTTTCACAGGACTTTTTGATGTTTTCATCGGACTCTGTTCCGTAAAATTCACCCCGTCATTTTTTCCAAAACTCATGCCACTTTTGGCCAGCGTTAAAATATTACTGTAACCCTTCAGGGGTTTTTGTAAAATCCGCATGTCGGACGGAATGAGAATCAGACCGGGCATGATCGCAAAATTTAACACGACGTTCGTATCCGCGATCGCCGTACGCATGTTACGGATGATCGTCGTGATATCGTTCACAAGAATACTATCTTTTAGAACTTTTCGAAATACGTCTTGGGTCTGTAAACTTTTTGCACCCTGTCCCGTGATACTCCACCGGGTTTTGGCTTGCGCTCCGAGAACCGCGTACACGTAAACTTCCAGACTCTGTTGAAATAACCGTTGTCCGATTTTCGTCAATCCTCGCGACGTTTTCGGAATGAATATTTTATAATCTTCCGTCACATTTTTCGGAAGTTTTTTCGTTAAATATTCGTACTGGATGAACGTTCCACCGAACCGTGTCCGAACGTAATATTGGTTCCGAATCTTACGACGCGTATCGACGGGTAATCCGTAATACCACGTTCCGACGTTGGCATGCGACGATAATGTTCGACGTTCCCACGTTTCGGTCGTCGGCATGTATTTTTTCAAAACGTGAAGATCGTCCTCGTTTAAATAATGATCCATTAATTTTGGATCCTTCATGAATTTTTCCATCTGATAATGAACGTGAAATTTCACGATGGCCGTGATCAAATGGGAACCGGACAATGTATTATTCAGATGATTTTCGGAGATTCCGGATTTAAAGCTCGCGATGTAACAGGCGGCCAACGAACGGAAATATAAATCCCGATGATAGGCGAACGGAATTAAATTTACAAAATTTCCCGTTCCCACGTACTCGGGTTTCGTATATTCCAAGTCCACGGGAAAAAAATCCGTCTCCGAAACGTAAATAGGAAACGTGTGGAAATTTACGGCAAAGTCTAAATTCGGACGAAATATCATATCGGACGCAACATTTCGCCATCCGTCTTTCCAGTATAAATATTTGGTCCATTTCGGATTTCCTAAAAATGTTTCGGACGTTATATCGTAACTGGTGAATTCGTCCACCTAGTAAAAAATTTCGGACGAACTTAACGTTCCGTCTTTAACAAACGTCACGATAAATTCGAACTTGGATAATGTTGCATCGGGATATTTTCGAAGGAAATTAGTTTTAAGTTTTTGAACTTCTATCGGATATGCTTTTCGGACCTTCTCGTAATTCTTTCCGTAATAGTCACGAAAAACTTGTTCTTCCATCTTTTTATTTCTTAAAGAATATACAAATCTATCAGAGCATTGCACGGTGTAATTCCATCGACGTTGGATTTTACGTCGAAATGAAGTTCGTGGTAAATCCCCGCATCGGCTTGAACCTGGCTTTCGATGTCGTTGTATTTTGTCGTCGTGCCGAATAAGGGTTTCGTTCCGTCGATGGGAAGGGACGAGATGATATTACTCGGATAGCCGTCGGAATTTATATTTTGCGATCGGTTCGTTAAATTACAGCCGATCGTAACGTAACGTAATCCTTCGTGAATATCCACGGGATGTTGACCCGGATGTAATTCCGAGAACGTCGTGTATCCCAACAGATTATTTAATTTCCACGGATTAAAATATTTAACGCTTTTTCCAAATTTTATTTGAATCCGTCCGTCTGGAAAATCTTCGACGACGAGACCGTGACTTTCTAATTTTTGACGCAATTGTTTGAACGTCCAGTATCCATGTTTCAACATAACTTTTTTCTTATCGACGGAAAAATAATTTTTGTCGTCCTTCCGAATATTCTCGTACGTCCAGAATAAAGCGACTGTTTTTACGTAGAGTTTGGATGCGGGTGTTAAAATCAACGGTTTCTGTAATTTCATCGTAGTTTCTCCGTCCCGAATAAAAACTGTAATCTTTTTCATTTATTATAAACTATGGATACATTGGATCTTGGTTTACGCGAACTCTATTTTAACGTCAACGGCGGTTACATGTCGATGGAAAAACTTTATCGGGATGCAGTCAAAAAAGATATTCCCGGTGTCACGCGTGAAAAAGTGAAAAAATGGTTACAAACACAAAATACGTACGTCGTTCACAAACCGACGCGAGTTCATTTTAAAACGCAACGAACCTACGTCGATGGACTTGCCCAACAATTACAATTGGATTTGGTAGATATGCAAACCTTCAGTCGTGCAAATAAAAGTTACAAATGGATTTTAACATCCATCGAAATTTTAAGTCGGTATGCATTCGCTGTTCCCGCCTATCGAAAAGGAACGGAACATATGGTTCCGGCCGTCGAAAAAATCTTGGACCAATTTCACGAAAGATTCGGACGTTATCCCAAAGTCGTTCAGTTTGACGAAGGGAAAGAATTTTACAATAATGGAGTCAAGGGATTGTTGGAAAAACACGACATTCATTATTTTTCAACGCGACTGACCGGAAAGAAAGCAGCGGTCGTCGAAAGATTTAACAGAACGTTAAAAACAAGAATGTGGAAATATTTTACCGAACAACAATTTACGACAAAGTCAAAAAAATGGATCGATGTCTTGGATAATTTTGTTGCGTCGTATAATCATTCGAAACATCGTACGATCGATATGAAACCTGCCGATGTGAACGAAACCAATAAAGATAAAGTCTGGACAAAACTTTACGGTTATCCCTTATCTCACTTTCCAGAACCAAAATTTAAAGTTGGAGATCGTGTCCGAGACCAGATTTATCGCGATACTTTTGTAAAAGGATACACGTCAAATTATACCGACGATGTTTACGTCGTGTCGGAAGTGTTTCGCGGTGATCCGAACATGTATAAACTCATCGATTCCGACGATGACGATCGTGAAATTCAAGGAAGATTTTACGAACACGAATTATCATTGGATCTAAGTGGTAAATAAACTATGGCCGAAGCTATCGAACTCGACGAGATCGGACATGATTACGATTGGGATCCGTGGGAAGGGGACGAATACGATGATATAGATTTCGACGACGACTTGCGTGAAACGACACTGGATGATCTAGATCGGCGGAACGACGAAGTATGGTTAGCAGATTTTAAAAGACAGAATGAAGGTGATAGGTTCAAATATAGAAAAAAAGAAACCAATTCCTTGTACACGACTGGATCTTCTGTCGGTATAAAATCCGAGTATATGAAAAAACGTTTTGGGAACGACTATAAATTAAATCCGAATGACGGACCTTATTCAAAAGATTTATTTTTCAGATTAAATATCACCCGCGGATACTGGCTGTCATTTGATAATATTGATGTTGCCTTCATCGAAAAAAATGGGGAATACAAACTATCCACAAGTCAAAATGTAACTGTTACCGATAGCCAAAAAAAATTTAGATCTGCCTTTGAAAAAGCAACGGAAGAACATAAAAATAAATTCGTCAGTATCGTGGAAGAAGTTCCGGAGGGAAATTTACAGATCCACGACGACATTTCCGACGACGTGCGCGATGAAATTCATCACGAAAATATCGACGATAATCTTGAATTTCACGAACGGGTTTTACAATTTCATCGCGATGGGAAATTCACCGAACAGGAATCTAGGGAATTGGTTGGAATTACTGTTCCCAAAGGTGAACCTAATGAACGGATTAAATATTTAAAGGTTGAACGTCAAAAACTTAAAACAGATTTTGATACCGAATCCGATCCTGAACGTCGAGATATTTTTCGCGAAGCGTTAGAAATTATCGATCAAAATATTGACGATGCGAAATTAGAAATGCGTGAACGTCCCGAATCCGAAGAAGGTGTGCATCGCGTCCGAGAAAAAGTTCGCGAGGATGTCCGGACGAGATTTGAGAAATTTAAAATCTGGGCCAGGGAAAATCTAGGAGTTTTATCTGCGATCGCTATTTCCATCGCCGGAATTATTACGACCGTCGTCGTCGCCGGAAAAAAGACGTTGGTCGGTGCTGCAAAAGGTGTGGGTGAAGTTGGAAAAGCGTTGGGAAAAATTGCAAAAGCCGCACTTCCTGTGATCGTTCCCATCTTAAATATGCTAGCGACCGTTTTGAAATGGGGTGCGAAAGGAATAGAATTTCTTGCGAAAAATCTGTGGATTCTTGCCATTCTCATCGCAGGATACTTGTACAATTATTTCACGAAGAAAAAATAATTTTTTTATTTCATTCCCATGAAATAAAAGAATGGAAACGCGTACCATGGTGGTGGAGTCGCAATATACATAAGAACCTCAATAAACTTCATAATAAGAGACAATTTAACTGACGATAATCTCGAAACAATTACACTTGAAATTTCAAAACCAAAATCCAAACCATTCTTAATTAATAGTTGGTATAAACCACCCAATACAACACTTGAAATATTCAATGCATTCGAGGATTTAATTACTCGAATGGACTCTGAAAACAAGGAAATCATTTTACTTGGAGATTACAACTGCGATTGGTCACGCTTGGATAGTAACAGCGCTAACGCTCAGACAAACAAGCTTGCTGGAATTGCACAGACATTCCAATTTCAACAATTAATTAGTGATCCAACGCGAATTACAGCTAATAGTAAAACCTTAATAGATCTAGCATTCACCAATAAACCGGAATTGATAAATGGCTCGGGTGTCATTCATCTGGGGATAAGTGATCACAGCTTAATCTATATACAGAGAAAAATTTCCGTTCCACGTAAAGAGCCAAAAGTGATTAAATCAAGAAATTTCAAACACTACAACTCAAACAACTTTAAATCAGACCTTTCCACACACTTATATGATCAAGTATTCTGTGATACAATGCTTGATCCAAATATTATGTGGGAACATTGGAAAACAATATTTCTGTCGGTTGCAGATTTTCATGCACCGGAAAGAACAAAAAAAGTTAGAAGCGAGTACGCGCCATGGATTACAGAAAATATTAAACAAACTATGCGTCGAAGAGACTTTTTAAAGAAAAAAGCAGTTAAGACAGGATCAAAACATTTCCATGATGCTTATAAACGCACACGAAATTATTTGAATAGATTAATTAAGAATACAAAAGCAATTTACTTTACAAATACTTTAAATGACTGTGATAACAACCCAAAGAAAATGTGGAAAACAATTAATAAACTTACAACAAACAGTCAAAAACAACTGTTATATCTGAAATCCGGAACGATAATCAAAATTTGACTAAAAAACATGAAATTGCAGATGCTTTAAATTCACATTTCAACGAAGTTGCATCTCGTTTGGTTAATAACATGCCACAGAGCTCAAGGACATTTGAGTCATACGTGACCAGGTCCGATACACAATTTACGATACAAAATGTTTCATTAACTAAGGTATATAAGTTGCTCTCTACAATTAAAACATCCAAATTAGCAGGGCATGATAGAATACCCGGTAAACTTCTAAGAGACGCTGCTGAAGTAATAGCACCATCCCTGTCAGCAATCTTTAACGCATCTATAAACACTGGTATATTTCCTGAAGACTTCAAGATTGCTATCATTTCTCCAATTCATAAGGCTGGAAGCAAAACTAATTGCGATAATTATAGACCAATCTCGGTTCTATCCTCAGTTGCTAAAATATATGAGAAATTAGTTACAGAGCAACTAGAAATTTATCTTGAAACTAATCACATTCTTGCAGAACAACAAGCAGGATTTAGGAAAAATCACTCTACACAAACTTCTCTACTTAACATCACGAACCAATGGCTAATGAATATGGATAAGGGTTTGTTAAATGGAGTGATTTTTTTTGGATCTCAAGAAAGCGTTTGACTGTGTTGATCATAATATATTGTTAAAAAAAATGCATTGTTATGGAATAAGAGGTCATACGCTTGCTTGGTTCCAGTCCTATCTTTCTAGCAGGATTCAAATATGTAAGGTAGATCAAACAATGTCCAAGACAAGAACAGTTAAATGTGGAATACCCCAAGGTTCTAATCTTGGGCCACTTCTTTTCTTATTATATATAAACGACCTGCCAAACTGCCTGACCTCATCTTCAGCAAGCATGTTTGCCGATGACACAAATGTTTCAACCAATGGCAAAACAAATGACGAACTACAAGAACGCATTAACGTGGACTTAGAAAATATACACCAATGGTTACTTGCAAACAAACTTACATTTAACAAAGATAAAACTGAATACATGATTATTGGTTGAAGACAACGAATTTCAAACTTAGTACTAACGGACCCTAAAATTGAACTTGGCGAATCAGTCATTAAACGGGTTCACAAATCAAAAACTTTAGGCGTAATTATTGATGAACATTTTTATGGAATCATCAAATCCAAAATATTGTCACAAAAGCTTCAAAAGGAATAGGAATGATGCGACGAATAAAACAGTTTGTTCCCAAATCAACCTTAGTAAAAATATATAATGCCATTGTGCTATCACATTTTGATTATTGTAGCTTGGTTTGGGATAACTGTTGTGATTACTTAAAAAACAGACTTCAGAAATTACAAAACAGAGCGGCTCGAATCATCACTGGTAAAACTTATGAAGTTAGTTCTGAGGATGTTTTAAAAGAATTAGACTGGCAACCTTTAAACCAACGCTATAAAACCATTAAATCGATTTTTATGCACAGAATACGAAACGAAAAAATGCCATCATCAATTTGCAACATGTTCAAAATTAAAATAAATGACAGATATGATTTAAGAAGTAACAATAACAACTATGATCTTGGAAAACCTGAAACAAATTTTATGAAAAAGAGCTTCAGTTATTCAGCTGCATCCCTTTGGAATGACTTATCAACTACAGCAAAAGAAAAAGGCATTAGCCTTAACAAATTTAAACGTATTCTTGACGGCACTTGATTCCTTTTGGTAACTTTGTAAATATTTAAATAGGATAGGATATTTTTAGATACAAATGTAGTGCATGCAATTATTAAGTTCGTTATGTTTTCTCTGTTTTTGTGTGTATATTTGTGTTATTATATTTATATAGCTTGTAAATACTGTAATAAACGGCCTCTTGAAAAGCAGGTGCCTACGAGCCCTGAAGAGCTACCGTTTTAAAATATTTTTAAATAATAATAATAATAATAAATACCCAAGAACTTATATTAGTCCTAGTTTTAGTCGTCGATCTAGGACGGAACTAACGCGCGGGAAACCGAACGCGACATCTGATCACGTTCAATCCCAATTCTGCAAAACCTGGGGAAGAAATCTATGTGAATATCCCCAAACTCAAACCGGATTTTGTTCTCGTTCCAGATAGTATGGCCTTAATCTTTGACTTTAAGAATGCCAACGAAAAATCATGGTTCCGGAATAACTTGGGAAAATTATTACAGAAAAGATTAGAGATTCGTCTTGCCGGTGAAAAAGTTTACGATAACAGCGGTGAATTGAAAGTTTACTCGAAATTTACAAAGACTTGTGGATGGATGAAAAACAACGCGCGGATATGATCCAAGACGGAATTACGACCGAAGTCGTTCGTAAGAAAATCTCCAAAGACGACGAGGCGAATGCTGACGCCGATGCCACTGCATTGTTTGGAATTTTCGGAACGAAACAACGGTTAAAGATTACAAAGATCCTAGGCGATCACGGACTGTACGCTCCGTATCATTCCGCCAACGATCTTCAGTACGTGATCACGTTACCACAAGCTTCCGAAATCATGAATGCACAAAGCGGGGAAACCGTCGATGGATATTCCTTGGAAAATTTAGAATTGGAATACGAATGTATCGAAAATATGAATCTTGCACGAAAATCCGAAAATCTCTACGGAGCCGAACGCGAATTATCTTTCGAACATGCCACGTTGATGAAAAAGACCGAATGGGATAAAAGTTTGACGATCGTTAACGAAACCGTCAATCTTCCACGACGAAGTATGAAAGCCATCGTCATGCTATTCACGGAAAAAACACCGACCGATAGCGAAGAATACGTCTTTCCGAATATCGACAAAGTCAAAGTGACGATCGAAGGTGTTCCAAACGTCGTGTACAGTCAGGGCATATCGAAGACGCGAATGTACGAAGAAGCCAAACGTCTTTTTGGAACCGATGTCAACGGACAACAATCCCTGATTAAATTTTACAAAGATAAAAAATTTGCATTGGTCATCGACTTGCGGACGGCTAACGATGCAAAAACCTATGGAAACGGAGTCAAAATTCAAAATACGCAATCTGGAATTCTCATCGAAATTACGAAAAAAGCAACGACTGCTAACATCATCTGTTACACGTTTGTTCTTTCGGACGGCGTGATTAAAATGGTCAACGGACAATTGAGTGGCGTGCGATATTAAACTATATCATGAATCACGATATTGTCTCCTTTTTTCATATTTTTTTCTGAAAATATGAAAATGATCCCTATTCCGTTTTTTCATCCTCCTCTTTCACGTCTTCCGTTCCTTTCCTTCCGTACACGTGTTTCACCGTCGTCACGCCGCCACTTAAAATTCCCAGGTATGGAATGTACGGCGATATTTTTTCAACGATACTTTTCACGTCGCTTTTTAATAATTTGTCCTGACCCAATTCCTCTTTTAATTCTTCGCCGCTATCGATCATGCGAAGATTTTCCAACAATCCCGAAAATTTTTCGATCAATGTTTCCGTAAGAAGAACGTTGGCTTTTTCGCGTTGATTCAGAGTGTATTCCCGTTTGATTTTAAAAATGACTTTGGGTGTTGCCTTTTTCAAATAATTCTCGGATTGACTAATTTCACCCGCGTTCGATAACCGAATTAATTCGGCTCGCGTATCTTCGAAAATTTCTTGTTCCGTCCTTTCGTGTGTTGTATTCTCTTCCCCTTCCATTACTTGTACTTTATTTTATAATGATACGGATGAATTAAATTTATCTCCAAGTACGAATATTTATTCTCTTTTAATTTCTCGCGAACAGATCTTAATTTCTGCGGATCTTCATCACCCAAGTATTCATCCAGAATAATTTTCATGTCCTGTCTGTTCGGATTGTAAAACGTCACCAGTTTCTGAATATTTTCGCGATACGGTTTGGCAATCGACGTCAACTGCTGCGTAATCACGATCGTCGAAATCTGACGATGACGTGCGCAGAATCCTAATTTCACCAATTCGCTCGTACGATTCTTGACGGATTTCGTACTCGCACAATCGTCTAAAATAATCAACGCATCTTTTCCCGATGCATAATTCACGACGGATTTCATCGAATCTTCCACGTCGTCGTGATGGCACGGAATTACATAAAAATTCGGATCGTCGTAGATAAAATTCCGGTCGTACGTTTTATTCCAATGATATGTCGGACAGATTAAAAAGATTTCGGAAAATTCATGAAAATACGTCGTCTTCAATTCTTCGATCAAATAATGTGTTTTTCCACACGCCGTCATTCCCACGATGATCATATTAAACGATATCATTTAATTAAAAGATGGGATGTCTTTCTTCAAAATCCGAAAGTGTTGTTAAACATAATAAAAACCACAAGAGACGAAAAATGTTTAGTCTGGGATTCGGGTTCGATCGCGGAGATGCAACGACCAGCATTCATACGCAGATCGGATACGTCAGTACAACCGTTAAAAATTATGATAAAACAAAAGATGAAATTACGCCTGTGGAGAATGTTACTGTGGACGAGTCTAATCGGTTGTCTCCTGATCCCGATCACGTTCGAACTGTTGCTGATCCTGATCATCCTGAATAAATTTTAATTCTCGTAAAATTAAAATTCTCACGCAGACGGCGTATAAACCGGTAATTCGTCTTTCTTCTTTTCCTTCTCGCGACACATCTTGATCAACTTCGTACATACGAATAATAAGATGGATAATGCGGACGATGCACAGATGGCACACGTCGCATATAAAACATCGGCTTCTCTTTCCGTTAATTTTACGTTCGGAATTTCCGTTTCGTTGCTGCTCACTAATTTCATCGCGGAATAAAGTACCGTTGTTGCTGGATTCATTCTTTTATTTAACGGAATATTTTCAAAAATTTTAATGTTTTTTAAACATTAAAATTAATTTTTTTTTAATCTCGTAAGAGTCTCTTTCTCGGAACCTTGGGTTTATCTTCCAAGATATTGGCTTCGTACAATTTGACCTGAATACAAGTTGTTCTGCTGGATATATAAATTCCTTCGATTCGAATGATCGCATCAACATGAAACCTCTTATCCAGATATTTTTCTGGAACGATGGGCTTGTTTCCTCCTGGTTCATACATTTCCGTTTCGCCATCGATCTTTGGATATAGAGTCGGAGTGCTGCCTTTCCGAAAAAGACACTTCATTATCTTTTCGTCCGACTTATCAACATGTTTCATACATTCTTTTTCAATTAATTCAAGGACGGATAGAAACCCTGACTTTTCCCAAAGTGATAGGGAGATGGAATAGTTTTCCTTACCGAACTTTTTACTTATACTCACTCCGTAAGATAGACAGTCTGTAACTTTCAGTAAAAGAGGACCTTTATCGCATGCCGTTAATTTTATCTTTTTGGACCCGTATCTGTTTTCAACGGCATCTTCGAAACGGAACGAGTCCTTGGTAAAGTCCGAGACTTTGGTGATCGACATTCTTTATTGTATATTTTTTTCATATAAGGTGTTACGGGTTTGAATTTTTCTTTTCTCTTCCGTATTATTAATCTCATCGACACAATAACACTCTTCCTTTATTTTTTTTCTTTCTTTTTCTTTCTTTTTTCCATTCCTCTCTCCCTTTCGTTTCTTCTATTTGTCTCTTACTTTTCGTCTCAAGCCTCCTTATTTCCGAACCGAAAATTTTTCTAACACTCGTACCTTTTTGACCGGTCTGATTTCCTCTATTACTACCTTTCATTTATTTAATGAAAAAAAAATCCACGGGGACGATCTTTAAAAAGTCTTGGAAAAATCTTGAAGAACAAATCTTGGGGAAATCTTGGGATAAATCTTGGGAAAAGTCTTGGAAAAGTCTTGGGAAAGTCTTGGGGACGAATCTTTGGAAAATCTTGGGAAAAGTCTCGGGGATCAATCTTGGGAAAAAAAAAATCTTAGAAGGAAAAATCATGAGGGAAAATCTTTGGAAAAATCTTGGGAAAAAGTCTTAGGAAAATCTTGGGAATAATCTTGGAAAAAAGTCACGGGGAAATCTTGGGAAAATCTTGGGAAAATCTTGGAGGAAATCTTGGAGGGAAAAAACTTAGGAAAAAAAAAAGACTTAGAAAAAAAAAATTTGAAGGGAAAAAAGACTTAGAAAAAAAAAGACTTAGAAAAAAACTCAGAAAAAAAAAAGACTTAGAAAAAAAAGACATTTTTGAGTTTTGTCCTACAAACGGCATATTAACCCTTCTTCCCAGTCAATTTTAGCAAATATTGCAAGCACTAAACAGTGAAAAATACATCACAAATTTCGTTAAAATTTGTGACACCAATTTCATAGCTACAAATGTAAAAAAATACAAAACAAAGACGAAAAACATTTACCTTGAATACTGTAGCTACCGTTTCTCACATCCGGAATGTGATTTCCGGCGTACATTTCCGGTCACGTGACTTTGCTGGCAATAAGCATAAATTCAGCTGCCATTTTGTTAATTGATATATATTTTCGTGTTGCATGTATTTACAAACTGTTTTCTACGTAAATTGAAATAAAGAGATATTAATTTTTTAAAAGCTCTTGATGTAGCTTATTTTCGTGTGTTAATTCGCTGCCAAGTAGGACTTGGTAACAGTAGAAAACAGTTTTAATTCGAGTATTATGAACGAATGTTTACGTTCGTCTGGCGATTGGAAATTTGGATTGGAAATTTTACTCTTTCTTCGATCCATTAGGACTCATCGCACCCTTTGTTATGAAAGCCAAACTCCTGCTGCAAGTCCTTAGCAGAAAACAAGTCGGTTGGGACGATCCACTACCGGATAACGAGCAAGCACAATGGAGTCGTTGGTTAGAAGATATACCCAAATTGCAACTACAAGTCAAGATTAGTCGCTGTTTCAAGCCACTCAATTTCGGTGAAATAAAGGTGATGCAACTACATCTATTTTCGGATGCTTCTCGAGTAGGATATGCAGCGGTGGCGTATCTCCGTCTTGTAGAAACAAGTGGCAACGTACACATCGCGTTTGTTATGGGCAAATCGAGGCTGGCACCGTTGCGTGAAATAAGCATCCCAAGACTTGAGTTAACTGCTGCAGCCCTTTCAGTAAGATTATCTGCTATAATTCGTAAAGAATTAGATATGTCAATACAGAGAACATATTACTGGACGGACTCTATGTCATCCATAGTGAGACCGATCCATTAGAATGGAACTATATCAATCGAGAAGACAACCCTGCTGATGACGGTTCGAAAGGGATGAAGGTAAACCTCATGGTTCAGAACGATTGTTGGTTAATTAACGGGTCCCATGTTTCTGAAAGAAAGCGAGAGTGAATGGCCTCGACTGCAAGAAATACCAATTTTAAAGATGAAGATCCACAAGTCAGAAACGAAACCCAGATTTATGCAGTTTCTGTACAAGGCAACGGTTTGGACGATTTAATCTCGTTCTATTCAAATTGGTGGAAATTAAAGCGAGCAGTGGGTTGGTGGTTACGATACAAGCAGTACCTTCAATGCAAGGTTCAAGAGAGAAGTAACACAACGTCATATGAACATCAAAGAAGATACTTTTGATATTTAACTTTGAGCGAATTAGATGTAGCGGAAAGAAAAATTCTCAAACGTGTTCAGCTCACTGCGTTTCCAGCTGAATTCCAGTTATTGTCTAATTCCAATCGTCCAGCAGCCACAACGAAGAAGATACTTCGAAAGGCGGGAACGTCAATTCATCAACTAAGTCCAATTCTGAAAGAAGGTTTATTATGCGTTGGAGGGAGATTGGATTATACCCAAATAGATGATCATGCGAAACACCCTATTATCCTGCCTTACAAACACCACATAACCGACATGATCATTCGTTACTATCATATAAACGTTGGTCATATGGGTCAAGAATCGATTCTCTCTTCTCTGCGACAGGAATTTTGGATCATCAAAGGAAGATCTGCTGTTCGACGCGTGATTAAGTATTGTATTGACTGTCAACGAAGAAAGGCTAAATTGTCGGATCAGTATATGGCTAGCTTGCCGCAGGATCGAATAACTCCAGACAAGCCAGCGTTCACATATGTTGGTACAGATTATTTTGGACCCCCACAAGTGAAAGTGAAAAGATCACGTTGCAAGCGCTACGGATGCATCTTCACATGTTTAACAACACGTGCAGTTCACATTGAGATAACACAGTCCTTGGATACGGATTCCATGATAAATGCACTCATCAGGTTTATTTGTATTCGTGGATGCCCAGAACTGCTAAGAAGTGATCGTGGTACAAACTTCGTTTGTGGAAATAAGGAACTAAATCAAGCGATGGAGGATTGGAATCAACATAAGATTAATGAGTTTTGCGTCCAACGAAAGTTGAATGGATTTTCAATGCACCCTCGGCCAGTCACATGAATGGCGTTACGGAGAGAATGATCAGATCTGTACGACAAATACTGAAGGCTATTTTGAAAGAGCAGATTGTAACTGATGAAGTTATTTTGACATTGATGGCGGAGGAAACGAACATCTTAAATTCGATGCCGCTAACACGAAATAGCGACAGTCCTTTGGACGACGAACCCATAACTCCTAATCATTTATTGCATCTACGACCGACTACGGCATTACCACCAGGGTTGTTTAACAAGGAAGACCTGAACTCCAAACGCGCATGGAGACAAGCACAGTATTTAGCGGGATTGTTCTGGCGAAGATGGACGAAGGAATATCTGCCAACGTTGTTTGAAAGAAAGAAATGGACCGTGCCAAGAAGAAATATGAAAGTTGGTGATTTAGTTTTGTTGGCTGACGAGACTTTCCCGAGAGGACAATGGCTTCTTGGTCTAGTTACCGAAGTTCTAACAAGCCGAGATGGATCGTACTGTCCGCGTGAAGACCAGTTCATCTGTGGCAACCAAAGCTAAGCGACAACGAAAAGGAGAGTATAAAGTCAGCTCTACCATCTTAACACGTCCTGTTCACAAGTTATGTTTTTTGGAATTGGATTCGGATGAATATAACTAACTAAAAATTTGAACTTGCTTGGATTGATTTTTTGGTAGCTGTTCTTTAAGTAAATAGTATGATGACTATTTAGGGGTCGGTGTAGCTACCGTTTCTCACATCCGGAATGTGATTTCCGGCGTGCATTTCCGGTCACGTGACTTTGCTAGCAATAAGCATAAATTCAGCCGCCATTTTGTTAATTGATATATATTTTCGTGTTGCATGCATTTACAAACTATTTTCTACGTAAATTGAAATAAAGAGATATTAATTTTTTAAAAACTCTTGATGTAGCTTATTTTCGTGTGTTAATTCGCTGCCAAGTACGACTTGGTAACAAATACTTTGTCGTGGCTTACGCATGTTTTTAAAACAATTAGACCAGTTTATGCTTCAATATCACCCTTTTAAAGTGGAAAATATAGCAAAACAACAAAAATGCCGAGAACTTTGGTAATATTCGCAATACGCGTGACGTCACGTTTTTGTGCACTTTTTAACGTAGTTCAATCTAGTTTTTGTTTGCATCTTTTCATTCACTTATTGGTACATTCGAATGCACGACATTCATACAAAATATCGTGTATACTTTTTTTATTTGTGCATGCCTAGTGATATTTTTGATAACGTAACCTTGGCTCGCCATATGAGGCCTTATCAGTTAATCTTGAGTTAAATTCTTGGGATACTGATACATCGTGCGATGCAATAATTCACACAACACTCCATTTGCTTGTTTCTGTACATTTACACTGTAACATTCGCCAGTTTTAACCAGTGAATTATAATAACACTGGAAGGTAAACTGCAGGTAAACATGCCCATACTTGCCCGAAGCCAAGATGGCGCTTCTCGTGAGACTCAGCGAGCAATAAATTAACTTTCAAAAGGACTAGGGAGATGTTTGTGATGTTACTCTGAGTGCATATCCACACCGGACGAGCTTGAAAAATATGCCCGGCCACGGTGGGAATCGAACCTACGACCTTTGGAATACTAGCCCAATGCTCTGCCAACTGAGCTACGCGGTCAGGACGGTTCGAGTAAGTGATAGTTTCGGAACAGAATCTAGTTCCTTCGATACCAGTGTAATCTAGTAATATGATTTTTTCTGTGTTGGTGTTGTGCACTCAGGTGAATATGATGTTTGTCATGTTACTCTGAGTGCATATCCACACCGGACGAGCTTGAAAAATATGCCCGGCGACGGTGGGAATCGAACCTACGACCTTTGGAATACTAGCCCAATGCTCTGCCAACTGAGCTTCGCGGTCAGGACGGTTCGAGTAAGTGATATTTCGGAACAGAATCTAGTTCCTTCAATACCAGTATAATCTAGTAATATGATTTTTTATTCCTCGAACCGTCCTGACCGCGTAGCTCAGTTGGCAGAGCATTGGGCTAGTATTCCAAAGGTCGTAGGTTCGATTCCCACCGTGGCCGGGCATATTTTTCAAGCTCGTCTGGTGTGGATATGCACTCAGAGTAACATCACAAACATCATATTCACCTGAGTACACAACACCAACACAGAAAAAATCGGACTAGGGAGAGTGTCGACGAGCAGGAAATTCAGTCAAAAGTTTGTTTTCGGCGAGCCAAAATCAGCAAAAGGCCAAATCAACTTTTTTATCAAAAGGCTTCAACTTTAAAGATTCATACCTGGTTTCCTGGATAGTTCTAAGTATTTTACATCCACTAACAGCAAAAACTTCCTGCGTAACAGCTTGATATTCAAAATTAAACAAGTTTGAACGTGCCGAAAAAAACTTCGCACTTTGACTCCCGTGAAAAAGTAACTTTAAAACTGCTCTACGTTCTGGAAACATGTTTTGTATTAAATTTCAGGTATTGTTGAAATTTTTAAGCTTTTTTCGTTGTTGAAATACAGCTATTTAGTGGTCGAAAACAGACATCTTGAGGCGGCGTATTTTCCACTCCATATACGTACATGGCGGCTATCATGTGTGGCTACAAAGATGGCGGCCAAGTTATCGTTCCCGTTCTCTTAGAGTTCACTGGTTTTCACGCAGGACGTTAAGCAGGTTTAGCGGTACTACATTCAGTCTATAGCCGTGTAAATGTAAAAGGTTAATGTTTCCAATTTTCATGGTTTTAGCGTCTGGATAAAGTGCTACTTGCTGCGAAGTGACTTTTGCGTGCAAAAACAGAACTGCTATAGCGTGTAAAATAACATCATTCTTGTTTGGGTACTCTCAATGAGGTCTATTACTGGCATCATTCAAAAACAAATGATAGATAATTAGATATATTAAACATTCTGCAGGTAGTTGGAAAACCATTTGTATAAATTATTAATTGCATGCAAAATCGGACTAGTGTAAACATCAGGGCAACGAAGATAGGCGCGCTGATCGATGTGTGACGCGTTGCCTTAATTTTTGGGCGGGAAAACAATTAAAGATGGCGGCCGAGACAAGCAGTTCGGAATCATCATTTATCCTTAATTCTGCTTTAGTTAACAACGAACTTTGTTCAGATGATGATTCTGAAAGTGATTTTACTATTTCCGAATCATACGACTCCCATGTTAACTTATCGTCAAGCATTATTATATACAGCGAACAGTCATGCGGAAAACTTTTTGGTTATGATGTCTTAAGCGAGAACACGAATTTTCACCCAGCATCACAGTAATTATTGCAGCAAATTCTGCAGCACTTTTAGTCTTTGAATAGTGGGAGCCAGTTTACTGGTGTGGAAAGCATTTATGATGAAGGAGAAAGTCAAAATGGCACTGAAGAATCTCTGAAATATTGTGATGAAAGCGATTTTGATTCTATTCCAGACCATGGTGGTTGGGCCATTAAACGGACTAGGGAGAGCATTTTGAAGGGTGAAAGTGATGTTCTGTTCGAGGTAAAGATTCGGTTGGTGGGTCGGAGGTTGTTCATGGTGATAAAGGAGATGCGATGAAGGTAATTGCAACCATGGGGGAGGATGTGAAGCAACTGGATGGAAAATTTCGCTTTGTTATCCACAAGAAGATTGTTTCATTTTTTGTTTCTTCATAATCTTGTTGAAAGCCTTATTCATCTTAGAAATCTGGCACTTGAAAAAGGAAACTTTTTGACCAGTTGTCTTGAAAAATTGTCGGAGAATAAGGAGCTAAGAGACAAATGGAATGACATAACATCAACAACACCCAATGCAACATCAGTGTTTGTTCTGCAAAATATTGTGACCTTTTCATCAAATCAAAGCAGCAAATAAGTCGAGAGAAAAGAAGGCTAAAACCAAATAAGAAGTCCATGGCAATTCGACAACAACTGAACGCCCTGGTAACATGGTTTTACTTTATTTACGGTCAGACAATTCAGAATATGATGATAATCTATACTTTCTGCAACAAAATTGACGGGTCATCGTTCTATTTTGCCGCTATGATAGCTTTTCTGGTTTACATAGGCTGGATAAATGCTGCCGTCATGTTGCCATGATAACGCTAAGAGTTATGAATTGGTGCTAGAATTTATCTTTGATATACAAAGAATGAAAGACTTGTGTATGAATTAGAATTATCGCAGCTTATAACGTTTCAAACAACTTTTACTTCAAAGTAATGATATATACCTATGATGTAAATTGAAGGCAACCTCGATCCTTAAACATCCTTTTTGATAAAGAATTGTTTTGTTCAGTATAATAAAACACCTAATGGATACATCTTCATTCTTCGCCCAATATGGCAAAATATTAAGTCTATTCTTATATACTTAAGAGCTTATATACCCGGTAGTTGCCTATATATATATATATATATATATATATATATATATATATATATATATATATATATATATATATATATATATATATATATATATAATAGGCAACTTAGTTAAATAAACTTCAAATAATGAGACAACTTGGTTAAATAAACTTGGTAATCAACTGATATTTTCACAATGTTGGAAGAAATAATCGCTTGTTTCTTGTCATTGTTTTCTGCCTTAACCTTGGATGCACCACGACTTTCTTCACAAATAAACGAGAATACAAGTCATCAGAACACAGTACGCGCTGCACATGGGAGCACGCGAAGATAGCATTCACAGAGAGCATGTCTCGTTTGAAGAAGAAAATCTACCACCATTAACAGAGTACTATGTACAACTAGGCTATATGAACTGCGCAATAAGCCTACTTATATCGAGTCACTTCTCAGAAGTTTGAACGAGAACATTACCATAACCTTAGCTGCACCACCTCTGGTACTTATAGGGATGGCTCTTATATATTTTGATTTAAGAACAACCGATATATGTTCTGAATGGGAGGCTCTAAACTACACTCTCTCATTTGATGTTGAGAGAATAAGGTTCATTGACTATGGAGTTGAGAAAATTATATTCTATCACTCGTTTCCCTTGACTTGGATTGTTTTATTTGGTTGGAACGAATTTAAGCGTCATTATTCCGCGACTGTTTCGGTATGCCAACTGGCTGGTTTGCTTGATACATTAGATTTAAGGTTTTTTTTACTTCTATATGGTGTTGACGATTCGGGTCCGACCTTAGCACTGGTACTTCAGAGATTATCGAACCAGAGCGAACCTTTGCGTTGGTTTATTTCATACGGCGACATTCATTACTTGGTATCGTATTATGCAAGCAGATTTTGAGAATACGTGGCTGTTTGTCGGGCTATCTTTTCTATCTGGTCTGTCGAATTTGCTTAAAATAGCGACTGTTGGTATTCGGGAGAAAGTATGGGCACGAGTTATCAGGTTTCTGAACAGAACATGCTGTACAAGATTTCACCATTTGCCTGGAAACACACCACATCAAAGGCGGCTTAAAGCAGATACCGAGATACAAAATATACTTTTTGAGAACAATTCACTGATTATAAGCCAATCCTACACCGTTTTATATCGGATTACAAATTTTCAGCTCTCTGATTGGTCTGTCATGAAGTCATCTTTAATAAGGATTGCTATTGGATTGGTGATTGAATTCGTGTTCAACATTTTGTCTACTGTTATTCGGATACATTGGCATGATATTCCCATGACGCGAGTGTGGTCGAAGTACTGGAAACGACATATGTTTGCTAACGGAATCGTTGTTACGGTTTTAGTATGCTATTTTACTAAATCCTTGGTTGCCGAGTATTTCAAGATCGTTTTCATGATTCTGGTGCAGGGAATTATACTATTAGAAATTGTACTCTGCCTTATCAAAGCTGGCGTTGATTTAGAAACTGTCGTTTCCAAATCATGCGTGCTGTAAGCTCTCTTTACCCCTCTACAGGGCGTCCGAAAAGAAGGGAACGCATCTAAATTAGTTATGTATTCATTGCAATGATCAAGTAATTATAATACAGCTATTAGTTTGATGACTTTGACATTTCTGAGACTTCAATTTGTAAAATACTAAAACTGTCTGTACCAGTGTTGGTAGTACCAATGTGAAAATGCTGTGCTCAGTGGTTATATTACTACCTTAAAAAATAAGCAGGAACTCGACGTTTCGAGCGAAGGCCCTTCGTCAAGAGTTAGTGGACGTAACTCTTGACGAAGGGCCTTCGCTTGAAACGTCGAGTTTCTGCTTATTTTTTAAGGTAGTACTATAACCAATTTGTAAAATACGCTATTACGAAAAATTGCTGTGACACGCTGAATTCGATCACCAAATCTTTCGGTATCGCCTTTTGAACTTTGAAGACGAACTGAGGTTAAATTAATCCGTGTACTATTCCGCCATTCGTTTTCCAATGAAAATGACAAACGAAATTTGGACTATCCAATTTTTATGTGGTAACACTGAGAAATCAAAAATAGAATCTGAATTTCGTTTCAATGCAAATCCGAAACTCAACAAGTTACACTAAATTTCAAATCTGTATTTCTTGCATCCGATACTCAAAATATATAACCGGCGTGTGTGTAATATTTATCAAAAGGAATGCAAGCAACATGGCGGCATTAGAGAACATAGGTGTTGAATACATTCAGAGTTTCTCGTCTCGTGAGGGCATCATAATCAACGATTTATTGGAACATTCAAAGGAGCAGTTTCCAAATACAAACGGTTTCGAGACTAGAAGTATTGAACGCTTTTGCAAGGAGAATGATATTAGAAGAAAAGATGTAGTTTCAGACGAAACTTTGGATGCAGTAGCTGAGGGAGCAGTATCACAGGTTAGATATTGCATTTTTTATATAATTTATAATATAAAGTGATAAATATGATTATATATTATAAATTATATGAAAAATGCAATATCTTACCTGCGATACTGCTCCCTTAACTAGTGCATCCAAAGTTTCGTCATTCTCCTTGCAAAAACGTTCAATACTTCTAGTCCTGAAATCGTTTGTATTTGGAAACTGCTCCTTTGAATGTGTATTTGAAATCTTTAATTCTGCTGCCCCCACGAGACAAGGAACTCTGAATGTATTCAACACCTATGTTCTCTAATGCCGCCATGTTGTTTTCCTTTATGATAAATATTTAAACACACTCCCTCGGTTATATATTTTGAGTACTGGATGCAAGAAATAGATATTTGAAATTTAGTGTAACTTGTTGAGTTTCTGATTTGATCGGAAAACGAAATTCAGATTCTATATTTGATTTCCGTTATAATAAAAATTGGAATTCGAAAAACCGAAAAACGGAATTTGGTCGTCCAAATTTCGTTTGTCACTTTCATTGGAAAACGAATGGCAGAATAGTACACGGATTTTAAATGTATCGTAAAAAGCAACAAATTCATGAAAATAAAAACGTCCAAAAGGTTCCAATTTATGCATAATCATGTACACGATTTTGGTTATCTTAACACATTTCTATTTTCAGTGTGTCAGAACAGCTTTTTGTAGCGTATTTTACAAATTGAAGTATTGAAAGTGTCAAGATCATCAAACTACTGTGTTATAATTAATTGATCATTGCAATTAATACATAAAGGTTCCGGTTTTTAGGCACCCTATATTATGGACAATTCCCTATTATCGCACCCATGGCTTTACTGTTATCATAGTATCATTCAAAGACATTGCTCGTCAATCACTAAGGAAACAACTATAGTGATTGACGAGTACCCCGTGTACGTCAGTACGTGTACTTAGGCTGTAATAATAATTAAGTATTGTTGTATTAGTAAATATTATTAATTAGTACCTTGTTGTGTTAGTGACCGAGTAGTGTGAAGCCGATGAGTAGTTAGGTATTAGTAGTAATTTTTCTAAATTTTTATTGTGCACACGGCCCATTGAAAACCAACGAATGCTGAATGGCTACCGTGTTTAAATAATTTTAATAAACAATTATGTATCGATCAATTCGAAACTTCAACATGCCCCCCCGGGCCGACCCCGGGAATTTGAACTTTTCGAAATTTGACTGATCAAATTCTCCACCCCCTGTGAAAAAAATGTCTTCAAATGCCCCACTGTAACAAGAAATTAAGCGTTCAAATGCCCCACCTTCATATGAAAATTATGAAACACTAAATACAAAAAGTACAAAATATACGGAAATTTTTTCGGCAAGATAGCGAAATTCACTTAAAAAGTTTCGAAACCTTATGGAAATTTAACAGTTTTACACAATTTTGTAGTACATACCTTCAAATGAAGCACATAGCTTTTTCATGCCCGTTTCTTTGAGCCAGTTTTTCACAAAATTGAGGCCGTTTCCCTCGAAATCTGAGAAAACTGTATTTGCCGCCAATGCGAAGTCTTTTTTGTACATGCAGGAAGCACGCGAAAACGGGCAAAATTTTAAGACTTCCGGTTCAAATTCTCCACCCTTATCAAATGCCCCACCACATGGAAGACTTAGAACGTCAAATTCCCTACTCCCTGGAGAAGACTTGAAGTCAAATTCCCGGGATATGCCGGGCGGGGGGGGGGCATGTTGAAGTTTCGAATTGATCGATACATTATAAACCTATATCAAGTCTTTTAATTAATACTTTCATTGTACTTATCGATCACAAGTAAATTATAGATTATATTACTATTCGCTCTTGTCTCTCTCTCTCTCTTTGATGTTGGAATGTTATTATTACTTATTATTATTCATTCACGCCTGCATGTGGAATTTTCGCGCGAGTTCCAGCACGCGCGCGGTAAATTGAAGTCGCCAGCTAGAACAATTTTTGAATGACGCAAGCAAACCGGCATCGTTCAGAGAATTTTCAAAATTTTCCATCCAATTTGTGTCAGCATTTGGTCGCAAAAAAGAGATTATACAGAAGCCCGACTTCTTGGTTTTCCCTATGATTTTGACGTAACCGTAATTCGTCATCAAAATGCTGACGTCATTGCCCTAGCCAGTGCGCTTATGAGAGGCAATATACAGCTATTTCAATTAAGGTTGTCCACGAGCAAAGCGGAAAAGTCGAATACGAGCGCGAAAGGCTGCTGGGAATCGCTAACAAATTAATGAATTTTCCAAGCGGTTCCCAGCAGCCTTTCGCGCTCGTATTCGACTTTTCCGCTTTGCTCGTGGACAATCTTAATTGAAATAGCTGTATACTCGTGAGTTTTTCAAAGACTTTTGATCGTCTTTGAAAAACTCACTCGTTCATGTTTTTTCCAAATTGCACTCGAAACCATATAATCACATAAAAATATTACTCGACTCTGATTGGTTGATTTCAGTACAGTTAATCTCAAACAGCAATGCAAAATTCTGTAAGAACAGTACAAGAATCTGTAACAAACTGATCTGATTGAGTGATTGGTGGAGAAAAACATGGGATCTATAAAAATCAACCAATCGTTTGAAAGCAGTCCTCAAGTAACGATCACAGCTTGCTTCAAACAGAACAAACATGACGGCCGCGCTACAACGTTATAAGAACCTCTTCTTCTATGTCAGCAACATCACAGTAGATTTGTGGTGGTCACACCAATATGGCTGCCATTGGCTTCATTTATGCATAGTGGGTACTCCATAAAGTCCTAGTTTTCAGATCAGCGAGAATGGCCTTGTTGCTGGTATTATCTCATACTCGTTCCCAGGCCTGCGAGGTCCTGGAAACGAGGACGTTACTGTCTTTTGCTTCGGTGATGTTATTGTTGTCATTTAACTTCCTTGTCAAACAAACATTGCACTCCTTGTCAAACAAACCTTTAATTTTAAACGCCCCGTAGCTATCTCGAAACACAACAGGGTTTCAGCATATAACAAATCATGCATGCATAACTGCATGGTATATACATTAGCAATTTGTTACTTCTCGTTATTTCTCTATTATGGACAATTTCCTATTATCGCACACATGACCTTAATGTTTGCGATACCATGATGTGACACTAATCTTTTTTAAAGAAAATTCAGTAGAACTCCACTATTTCGAACATAGCTCTATTTCCTGTAAATTTGCGGATACTATTTCAATCATTTTTACTTGGTGATCTCACATTGTTGTTTGCCTTGACTGAAATTTATAAGGTTATCTCGAATTCTAATGACTTTAATAAACTTGTTCGTACTTTTTATACTGTTCGAAATAGCAGGGTCTTGGAAAATTGTCTTGGGACGGGAGAAACTGTCCGTATTAGACACAGATTCTATCACACATTTGCAAATGACCTTTTATAAAATCAACGTCAGCTTTCATAAGGTAGAGTACAATTTCTAATAGTATAATTCCCTGCACCAGAATCATGAACACGATCTTGAAATATTGCTACCAAGGGTTTGGTAAAGAAGCATACTATAACTGCAACAACGATAATGTTAGCAAACATATGTGGTTTCCAGTACTTCGACCACACTCGCGCCATGGGAATATTATGCCAATGCATGCGAACAAAAGTAGACAAAAAGTTGAACACGAATTCAATCACCAATCCAATAGCAATTCTGATTAATTTAACTCTTTCTCGTCAAGCCGGTTTCGCATTACATTACGACTCAATTTTTCAAAAATAAATATCTCGGCGAGTATTTACCCCCCTTTTAAATATATGCCACCATTGAAATCCTCACAAAATAACCTTTCGAACGGGGGGTCAAGTGCCATCAAAACATTACACAAACCGAAACAATCATATATTTATACTCACCGCTTCGCCAAACATTCAAACGAGAAAAAACAGTAAAACTTGAATATCTTTGTTATATGTTGTGTTACATTTGTTGATATTACGATCGGACTGTTATCGGGACAAATCACCTTTTGGTGTATGGGATTTAAGGTAAAAGACAACAACGGTGGTTTTGAATACGGACTCGATATAGAGTAAAAGATAGTTTGTAAACGGGTTGTTTTAAGTAAATAAAGTATCCAAGAGTTCAGTACAACAATGGCGACGAGTTCTACAGCTGCTA